ATATGTAATTACTAATCACTTCTGTGTCATCAACTATGAAGGGATTTTGAATATGAACTGATATTGTACAAATAGTGAGTAATGTTAAATTGTAGGGGTAAATTCAGAAAGAAAACCAAGCTGTGATTTGAACAACTATGCCTTCATGATTTAAAATGCTATTTTCTTATGCAATATGGAACAATTCTTATTTCCTCTGAAACTTTGATTGTATGCATTCATTCCTTTTAGTTTTAGCATCCATAAATAACTCTGGTTTGGAATCAGGGATCATGTTTTAAGGATAAGAAGAAAGTTGCACATCACACTGGAGTTTTGATTTATTATATAATTACATAATTTATTATTATATACTATAATTTAGACTAAAAAAGTAATTTTCTGCTTTAAAGTTTCTCACAAGATCTTTCTTAAGATTCCTTCATTCATCTTCAAAATCAGCAGCAATGGTTTCAACTATTTGGCAAGTGGACCAAATCTTTTTCTCTCCCTGAGTTGTGTTCAGAGTAACTTTAAATACTTGCCTTGCAGAGGAAAGAAACTTCTCCATTCTTAGGGGAAGCTGTTAAACTAAAAGATCTGACAATGTAATTCTCAAATGAGTTTAAAGAATTTTGCCTTAAATGAATGTGAATTCTAATTTACCTTTTACTTTGAGCTTGGCTACTGTGTTTGATTAACCTGCATTTTGTACATTACTTGCTTCCTTCTATCCCTTGTCAACTTTGTTGTAGATAAATGATACTCCCTCAAATCCCACCCTATTATGCATTGAAAGAAAGATAAAAGATCAATGTAGGTTTTACTAAATCTACCATTCTGTTGTAGATATGAGTTTCTTAATTACTTTATATTTGTATCTCTAGACCTGATTTCTTACTTTTTGCTTGTTGCCAAAAATATAATAAATTCAAGATAGTCATTTCTCCTGATTAGTTGGGCACGTTAAAGACTTTGTGTCTCTCCCATCATAGAAACTATAATATCTCCAAATGAAATCACCCTGTGGATCTCTAGGCAATTCAGAACTCATATTTTAGAATCATAGGAAACAAAGCAAGGATGTCTACTCTTACACCCTCTTTTTAACATATACTGGAGGTCTTAGTGCAGCAAAGCAGTGCATAATAGGTAGAGAAACAAGCAAATATATACATAGCTAGGAAAGGAAGAAATAAAAATGTCTTCATTGTGGATATGATCTTTTATATAGAAAATTCTAAGGAGTCTATAAAAGAGAACTATGATTAATAAGTGAGTATAACAAGGTCACAGAATACAAGGCCAGTATTTAAAAATCAATGGCATTTTTATATTCTAGCAACAATTGGAAACTGAAATTTAAAGATCAGTACCACTTACAGTATAATAACTCGAGAAAACATGAAATAGAGTTAAGTTTAATGAACTATGGCTATAGTCTTACACTGAACACTGTAGTGCATGACTGAAAGAAAGCAAAGAAAATCTAAATAAATGTAGAGGTGCAGTATGTTCATGGATTAGACCCAATATTGTTAAGATGTCAGTTTTCCACAAATTGATCTATAGACTCAAACAAACCCAGATTAAACATCAATGGGCTTTTTCAAAAAATTGATAAACTGATTGTAAGACTTATTTGAAAACGCAGATAACAGAATAGTCAAAATAGCTTAAAAATATATACAGATTGGAATTTACACCGCCTAGTTTCAAGATTTACTATGTAGTAATTAAGGTAGTGTGGTATTGGCACAAGGATAAATACACCAGTGGAATAGATTGGAAAATCCAGAAATCAGTCCGCAAATACATGGTCAACTGATTTTCAACCAATGTGCCCAAGTAATTCAATGATAGTATTGAATAGTCTTTTTGACAAATAGTGTTGAAACAACCACTTATCCATTTGGAAAATAATTATTCTCCACCCTTACCAGTCATTATGCATGAAAATTAATTTGAAAGATATCATAGACCTATAAAATCAAAACATTAATTCTTTAAGAAGAAAAATAGGAGAAAATCTTAGTAATCTTAAATCAAGCAAAGATTTCTTAAATAGGAAACAAAAGACCCAAATCTTTTAAAAGTGATAAATTGAATTTCCTTGAAAGATAATTAAGAAAATTAAGAGACAAACCACAGATTGAGAGTAGATAATAAATAAACACATACACATGTATTGTGTGTATATCTATGTGTATGTATGTATCTGCAATATATCCAAATGAAGCTATTTATCCAGAATATATAGACCATTACAACTCAGTAATAAGTCAGACAACCCAGTTTTTCTTAAATGGACAAAAGATTTGAAAAGATATTTCACTTAGCATGATATATGATAGGTCAATAAATGCATGAAAAGACCCTTAAAATCATTAGTCATCAAGGCATTGGAAATTAAAACCATTATAAGATACAACCAGATACCTGGTAGAATGGCTAAAGTTTTAAAAGACAATGCTAAGTGACAGGGAGGAGGTAAAGTAACTTCAACTTTCATGCATTGCTAGTAGGACTCTAAAGCAGTACCACCACTTTGAAAAACAATTTTGCGATTTCTTTTAAAAGTTAAATGTATACTTGACATATGACTTCAATTCCACAATTAGTTATTTGACCAACAGAAATGAAAATTTATGTTCTCAAAAAGACTTGCACTCAAATGCTTATAGTAAGTTTGCTCATAATATACAAAATTCAACCCAAATACCTCTCAGTAGAAGAATAAGTAAACCAAATATAGTACATCTGGTACAATGAAATACTATTCAGTGATAAAAAGGAACAAATTACTGATACTTGGAACAACATGGATAAATCTCCAAAACATTATAATGAGCCAAAAAAGCCAGACACTCTATGATTCTATTTATATTAAACTCTCAAAAAGACAAATCTAATATGGGCCCAAGGTGAGGATGATTTACAGGAAAGGGAAATAGTATATTTTGGGTTGATGGAGATGTTCTATATCTTTAATGATGTGGTAATTCCAGGTTTATACATTTGATTTTATACATTTGGTTTATATATTTGATTAAACTTATTGACCTGTACATTTAAAATACATGTACTTCATTGTGTGTGAATTATACCTGAATAAAGATGAAAGTTTTAGGGGGTGACTAGTTAGCACAGTTGGTTAGAGCATGGTGCTGTTAACACCAAAGTTGCTGTTTACGTCCCCACATGGGCTACTGTGAGCTGCGCCCTCCCTAAAAGAGTCAACTATGCCACTGTACTATGAAAGCAATGTGTAACCAATGACCATGGCAGTTCCCCAATAACAATAAAAGATGCAAGTTTTAGTATTTACAAATTCTATTTTTAGTTGATTCCCAAAGGAATATAACTCAAATGTTAAATGAACACCCACACGTAACATCAAAGTTAGATCCTGTTTGAAGCTGCATAAAAATATTTATAAAAAGACAATTACTGGGCCGGCCGAGTGGCGCTATGGTTAAGAACTCGCCTGGGATGCCAGAGGGCCCCGGTTCGGATCCCACATATGAGGGCCAGTGACACTGCCCTCTACAGCTAAGATGCTGAACAACAGCTCAACCTGGAGCTGGGCTGCCGTGAGTCGCCAGTGACCGTGTAGGCTGCAGCCCCTTTGGCAGTGGGTTGCCATGGGCTACTGTGTGTAGCCAGCGGCCAGCAGCCAGCGTGAGCGGCCAGCAGCCGCAGTGAGCGGCCGTCCAGAAGCCAGCGACTGATCTGCCTCACCCGGGAAGAGCGCAATGACGGTGCCAACTTGGGCCAGTGAAGCAACATCCTCCACAACTAGATTGAAGAAAAAAAATGACAGCAACTTGTCTGTTCCCCTCCCCCCAGTTCCCCAGCACTGTTCCCATCCCCCCAATTCCCCAAAAAAAATCTTTAAAAAAAAAAAAAAGACAATTACTAACATCTAAGTACAAAAGTTTGGACCTTTAGGGTATTTGTACAGAGAATGCTTAAGTATTTCATTAAAAATTATGATTGAATACAGCAATATATTATAATCATAGGAAAGCATCAATTAAGTATAAAAACAACTAAGTTACATCCAAAATCATGATGTTAAATGATGCATAGAAATTATATCATGGAGATATACTGTTTGTATTTTTAGAAAAATAGGATCATACAGTAGTGTGAAAAGATGTTAAGTGAATGTTCATATGTTAAGCAAAACACAGTATTAATGAGGATGAATCATAGGTGACTGTAGCTTGCAATAAATGACTTCCATTTTTTTCTTCATACCTTTTTTCTTATAGAAATTAATATCAACAGATGTTTCCCATAGTTCCTTTATCACTTGATGCCACATCCCTCCTCATACCATCTCTTTCTCCAAATAAGTGAATTAATCCATTTTTCCTTTTTTTAATTTTTAAGTTTTAAACTGAAACTAGTACATTTGTTTCCCCCTTTTCTCTTACATCCAAAGTTACAATAACTTAGCAAAAAATTATTGCCTCTCTCTCTCTCTCTCTCTCTCTCTCTCTCTCTCTATATATATATATATATATACACACATATATACACACACACACACACACACACACACACATATTTACCCATATATATCATACCTCAAAAAGTTTGAAGCAGTTTTTGCGTTACAAAGAGGACATTATGGAAATGATTCTTAAGTTCAATGGTACAGGAAATTATGCATTTGCTTCCATATGTAGGACATCAAAAATGTGTCAAGTACTGTAGAATGTGTTACATCTGTTTTGTCTTCTCCCAAGGTAATAATTTTTTAATGATCCTTTGCTTTTTTCCTTTCTTTTCCTTTGGGCTGTGTCTGCAAAAATTACTCTAATAGCTCAGCTAACCTCTTCTGCCTCCCAGGCCTGCCATTTAAAGTATATAGGTGATATTGGTTTGTTTTTTAGGGTTTTTTTTGAGACTTGATGGATCCTGATGAGATATTATCATGCTTGGTTACTTTCCTTAGCACTCCTTTTCACTGAAGAGTCTAACTGTTTTCATTTTCTTTACCCTTCCTATAGATTTGTTATTGGACGAGAAAAGCCAGGACAAGTGAGTGAGGTTGCACAGTTGATAAGCCAGACGCTGGAGCAGGAAAGGCGCCAGAGAGAGCTGCTCGAGCAGCACTACGCCCAGTATGACGCCGACGATGATGAGGTACACAGCCCTTGCAAACCTTTTTCTTCCTGCTTTCCTTCTCACTGCATTCCTACTGTATAAAACTCTCTTTACTATGTAACAGTGACAGCTTCTTTGCAGTTTCTCAAGGAGAATGGGTCTCTCCATTCAACCTCATGGAAAAAGAAATATCACTTGCATTTGTTATTCATTTGTGAGTCAAGTAATAGTATCTTGCTTACCGTATGAAAACTTCGGGAATCAAATAAGTCATCTTTTACCACTTTTTAAAAAGAAATTCATTGAAACAAAAAAGGGGTTAAAAACCACCAAAATGTGAATAGCAGCTGTCTTTATTGTTGGAATTAGGTGATTTTCTCTCTCTGCTTTACGTTTCTTTTCATTTTTCCCAAATTTTCTACAGTAAGTGTATGATGCTTTTTCCAAAAAAACGCAGTAAAGATTTTGGGTGGAAAAAACACATATACATAAACATACACAGAAAAGCACTAAACATCACTAAGTGTTTTCAGGGTTTTCTTTTATCCAGGAAGAGAAAGTTCTTTGGATCTGCTCTCTGTGATTTGTGCTAACATAAGGCAGGACAAAGCTTTCCACCAGCACGTATTCCATAGGGTAGATACATATTGGAATAATTTTGCATCCTGTTCTCTGTAGAAGATCAAGTAAATGAATAGAAGCTAACCCCCAAGTGAAAACGGCTGCCCGGAACCCTTGTGTGTTGTAATATAATACAGATGCTGGTCTATTTCTAGTGTAAATGCCAAACATACATCGATGGAATGGGACAATATGCTTTATTTTAAACGTGCACGTGTTTCATTTTGGCACGTCAAAAAATCCATCAGCAGTTTAGCTTCAGTGGTTCATACTCCATAACCATAGTATATTTTCAGGTAAAATAAATATTCTTTATACAGCTGATAGGACAGTGCCACTCCCCGTGTTCATTCTCTGCTCATCTGTATATATCCTTTGTCCAGAACTTTTTTGGTTTCTAGCCAAGATGTCGTGAAGATTAATAAACAGACATTCAAATATTTTTCATGTATTTTTAGCCTGGAATGTTTAATCCAAATGTGTATTAATTTTCATGTGTTTGTAATATAATGAGGATGTATTCCCCATTCATTACAGTAGGAAATTTAAAACAGTGTGTCAGTTAACTTTTGATCAAAGAGTAAACATTAGAAAGTTTTCACATGAATGAATTAGTTTCTTAGAATTCTATTTAGCTGATGTAGTTTTTCACTTGCCAAGTTCATTTGAAACGGCGAGAATTTTTCTTTATACCGAAATATTATATATGAAAATGGTATCTTGGATTTAGAAACTACAAAAGTGATTTCCTCAAATACTTGACCTTCTTTCATCTTACCTAGTTTTCAGTTCTCTGTGCTGGTATTTTGTGTTTTCTCCCAGGCGCTGATTTGCTCTGGCTGCAAGCCTATTTTAGGATGGTGGAATCATTCTCTGTAGGTTTGGTTTTTACCTGCTCACTATGCTGGAAAGAATGTGGATCTGAGGTTCAGGGGAGCATGGGTGACATCAAGTGGTGGGAGGCGAGGAGGCCAAGCTTTCCAGCCACTGGGGACCTCACTGTCTCTGGCTTTAAAAGCTCGGAGATTGGGCTCAATCTCTAAATTCCTTCCAACATTTATACTTAGGAGAACTTCATATGGAATTTTTTTTTTTTGCCTGTTTTTGTAAGGAAGGCAGAGTTGTTTATCACCTGAGAGTATATTTTCAGGCTGAAGACGGGTAAATAAACACCCAGTGAGAAGCACCTTGCAAGTTATCTTTCCCACATGATTTTATGTAATCTTTACAACAAACAGAAAAGACTTTTTCCCCCTAGAAATGCAGCAACTGACGCTTTTTCTAGTGGTCCAGCTAGCAGCTGGCAAACTTAGAAGGGGGATAATAGGGTGCTCCTGCTTTCAGAGCCTGGACGCTGCCACACACTGCCGTTTTTGAATGCAGTGGACGAATGGCTCTTTTGTCTGTGTTCAGGCCACACAGAAAAACTCGATAACAAGTGAAGTCAGAAAGAGGATTCCTGTTTTGGGTGATGGAGTTTATTGTAATACTTAGGTTCTGTGATTCCTTGTTCTGTATTTCTAATAAATAGTAGGGGAATCGAATACTTGGAGAATTTTTTTTCATGTAGGCATATACTTAATCCATAAAAGTATCCAATGAAGGTAGGGCTTAAAGGGGAGAATAATTGAGAATACAAATATTTTACAAAAAGACAGGCTTTAGCTTTCGGTTAAACTTTTTCTTCTGTCTGTAAGTTGTAGAAATAGAAATCAGGGGCTTGCTACTGTGCTACCCCAAGTAACCTTCACTTTATTGAAATGGTCAATGAGCTTTTTCCTGTCTCTCTCATGTTCCTCTCTGACTCATGTCTCCCTTTCTTGTGTGCTGCATACATACCGCCTCACCAAAATATGCCCAGCTGAAGCCAACCGTTAATTTTCTGTGAATAGGAGAGATGAAAGCTGTAAAAATGATGAAAACTCACTCTTTTACAAACACTTCAATTTATCTACTTGACTTAAATTCATTTGTTTACTAATGTTACCAAATATTTTTACATTGATTTGAGTTATATCACTATTTTTTTTTATTTACTGGCCCTCCCCTATTAATATAAAGTCAAATGTACAAGAGACATCATGGAAATAAGAAGAACCAATTATCCAATGGGTAAATAAATAGCCCTTGAATAATTTGGTTAATTTTTTATGTACTTGAGCAGTTTATTGATTTACATATCTTTTTTTTTAAGATTTTATTGGGAAATTGGGGGAGGGAACATAGTTGGGGAATCAGGGAAGGGGAACAGACAAGTTGCTGTCTTTTTCTTCAGTCTAGTTGTGGAGGACGTTGCTTTACTGGCCCTTGTTGGTATTATCATTTTACTCTTCCCAGGTGAGGCAGTCACTCGCCAGCCATTGGATGGCCACTCACGGTGGCTTACGGCAACCCACCGCAGCCCCACCACAGCCCCACTGCAGCCTAAGCCGTCACCGGCGACTCACTGCAGCCCAGTTCCAGGTCGAGCTGTTGTTCACCATCTTAGCTGTAGAGGGCGCAGCATCACTGGCCCTCATGTGGGATCCGAACTGGGGCCCTGCTGCACAGAGCTGGCATTCCAAGCCAACTCAATCAAGGAGCCACTCAGCTGGCCCCTTGATTTACATATCTTTATTAATCCTGAATTGTGTATTCAGTCACGTGGTTTCTCACTTTTCTTATCATTTATAGAACCATCTTTTGATTTCGAAGTTAGAATTATTTTTATTTGATAGTATCCCCTGTGACATTCCTCTGGCTAGCCAGGAAAACCTCTAATTAAATACAGAACAACCAAGATCATCCAAGTAATTTCCAGAGCCAGCACTCAGATGTGCAGTGTCTTCTGAAGGATAGATAGCTTCTGGTTTTGGTCAAATCATCCATGGTGGATTCTAACTTGGAACTTGTCACATTGACAGAGGAGAGTTGCTTGCCTGACTTGCCTACAGGGAAAACATTGCAATGTGAGAAATAGATCCTGAAACTGTAAAAGTACAGTGGTCTTCTATAAGAATCATTCATATTTAGGATTAAGAATACTCTATCATGTATTGTGTGTGCTTAGATACATGTTTTAATGCTTTAGGAAATTATAAGTCAGACTCCAAAAGAATTTAAAATATATAGATAATCTCCAAACTCTACTTAAATTTCTGCATTTTTCTGGGCTTTTTTTCCTCCAAGTATTTAAACTGGAAAAGTTTCAAATAAGGAAACAACCAATTCAATTTTAATTTGTATTCTTGTTTCTTTTCACTCTGTTAAACATTCTGATTAAAGAAACAAAAAAGCTAAAATGCCTCTGCCTAAAGGCTGAAGAAGAGGAAAGATCCTATAAAGAAGAGGAAGATATAAATCTGAACAATTGAAAAATTTTACATGTAGATTTGTGATTAGTGATTGAATATCTGGATTTAATAGAATTATTGTCCGTCTCCCTCCCTCCCTCCCTCCCTCCCTCTCTTCTTTCCTTCCTTCCTTCTTTCCTGTCTTCCTTCCTTCCTTCCTTCCTTCCTTCCTTCCTTCCTTCCTTCTTTTTTTTTCCTTTCTCCCTTCCTCCCTTTCTTTCTTTTTTAAAAACAATCTGAAGGGTAACTATGGAGGATTTCAGTATACCCCTCAGACAGTCAACACTATCCCACAAAATTCTGGGGGGATGGTCAATTTTTCAACTAGATTTAATTTTCAGTAACAAATTAAATCTCCTGTCCTACTCCGCAACAATCAGTGGTTAGCCTTTGAGTGGTGGGATGATATAATTCTGGCATATATTTTGTATTCTGTGGGTCACGTATGTAATTTTGGGTATCTGTTTCTATATAAAAGCATTTTCAATGTGAAATGCTGTGTGCTCAGACTGGACAAAGTGTGAAATAGTACTCCACCATTTTTGTGAGTTAGAAAATACATATGACCGTTCACATTAAAATGAGCTATTTTACATGCGCTTTTAAAATTATATGGTTATTTTGCTTTTGCTTCTTTATATATCCTCTTAAAATATAATATTTATTACATTTCAAAGTCTTAGATTATAGATGGCATTTCAAAGTCTCTTTATAGAGTAGTTCATAGCACTGTTAATCATCACTCTAGAAACAGACCCTGTTTCTTAAAACATAACTTAATCTTTCATAATTTGTTTTTACTACTGGAAATTCTTTCATAATTTGTTTTTACTACTGAAAATTAATATCATTATAACTATATCATGCAACATTAGATAATTTTTTAGAATCATTTTAAAGTATTAAATACAATTTTGAGCAGCTACCTACATGGGTATGCATTTTTATTGCTTGTGTTAACATGTAATCATTAGAGGCAAAAATAATGGAAGCTATGGTTTGTGTAAGTGTTAAAAGGTTTACAAAAATAAAATTTTTATGTGAAAGCATTAAAGTTATTAACATTGTAGTTGACTCACGCTGTTTGCTCTTCCTAGTTGAAACAGCTTGTGTTGCGTGAACAAGAGATTGCAATTTTTATGGATGTTTTTTTTAAAATGTGAATTGATTTTATACTGTGTTTATAATATTGAGAAACAAAGAGTGAGGCAATTCTCTTAGTTCTCAAAAATGTATGTTACAGCAGGCACCGGAACTTCAGTGTACTTTTTTACCCTTTCTCATTAGGCTGCTGTGTTTAGTGGTGGAAAAAGACTTCTTTAATTTTTGTTGTCAACTATTTTAGAACACTGTGGCTGAATTGCAAGGAGTATCTGGCAACTGCAATAACAATAACAACTATTTCCTTAAGGTTTGTTTCCTGGTGGAATATGATGCTTATTGTCTGTACCTTCCTGCTTCGTGTGTGAAATTAATTATTCTATGTCTTATTAACTAGTTCTATGCTTGGAAGAACTTCTCCAGAGCTGTATGTTTTGTATGTTGAATAACAGTTTGAAAATTACCATTTGAGAAATAATATTTATTCCTGAAACATAGCACACAGTTTAGATGCAGATTCTGCAATTTGGACTCACTTCCTAATAATTAACCATGGATGTTTTTAACCCCTAACACTTTAAGTATTTTGTAATTTATATTAAAGGGATAAAAGATACCCAACAGAAGGGTTGTATGATGTTTGTACAATACAGTGTACACAGCGATTCACATTGTCTTTTTAAATCCAGTGTTTTTTTAAGAAAAAAAACTTTTGATATAAGTTCTTAAATTTTCAAAACAGTTGAATGCATAGATATTTAAATTATGGTAGTACTTATTTGCATGATTTATATGGTAGATATACCAAAATCTCTAAAAAGGTATTGCACTATAAGTAAAATAATTCTATCTCTAGTTGCCAGTAACAATGATAGAGGAGCTTAAAAATGGAAGTCAGGCATGTTTAAAAGGGAGACTGGTTTATGGTAATTAGAGGAGGCTTAAGAATAGGAGAAATATAAAACATTTTTAACAACTTGTTTACAGACTCCAGTTTGACTGGATTTTCAAAAATCATTAAATTTAATTGTATCTTTTGGTTTGTGATCCCCACATTGACAGTAGTGGTTATTGTCATTGAAACCCAGAATTATAAGGTGCTTGGAATACATTCAGTTGAAGACCGTATCCATGTTTGATTTAACCTAAAGTACGCATGAATCCACTCATGTGTGCACACATACACGCACACACACACATACAATCCCCAGGAGGTAGATATTCTCCTCTACTTGAAAAGTCCTCTTTAGAAATATTACTTGTATATAGAAACACTATTATCAAAACACTGAATACAGACAGGAAGAGGAGCAGTATCAATGGGAGACAGAGGTTAGAATACGGGTAGAAACCTTCGCTTAAATTATGTCATCTTTTTGTAGCTCATTTTCTTTATTTTCTTTTGTTTATCATAATACAAGTGATTTGAATGTTATTTTCTTGAGCCTACCACATTGTGGTGATATTTATTCATGAGCCAGATACAAAAAACACTAATGAACTTTATCAAATTCTTCTATGCAATTAAATTCCTCTGAGAGTATAGACTTTGTACTTCCTAGAAACCATGCTGGAACAAGTCTATATTACAGCGATGAAGCACAGAGTTTGCAGTGTTAAACAGATGTCATAGAAACACACAGAAATTACAGTATCGTTTTCAGCTTTAAAAACAAATTGAGTATAGTTTTTTTTTACCAAAGAGTTCTGTAATTGTTAAAAGGTACAGTGAGAGATGGGCCTTACTATCCTGGGAAACAGACTGACTTTCCAATGGGCCATAGGGATCCTGTGGTTTTCCTCTGCTTGCACCCTTGTTCTGTTTCCTCTACCTTGAATACCATAATCTGCACCAACTCTTGTTTGCCCTTGTATGCCCACTAATCCTGTTCACCTTTCAGGGCTCTGTTTATGTTCCATCTGTCTCCTCCACAAACTTTCATGGACTCTCTCAGCTGGGCTAGGGGCCCCTTTTTTATGAGTCAGTAGTACCTTGTATATCTCTCTCAATCATCATTCACCCATAAAATTCCCCCACTAGCTTGTAATCTCTTAATGACATGTTTCAAATAGCTGATTCATTTGTAATACATCCAAGGATGAGCACAGCACTGGGAAGATTAGAGGAAGCCAAGAAATTGAACTGAATTGAATCACTCAAAGAAAGTTAAGATGAACATTTGAGAGTAGAGTTCAATGAGGAGAATGAAATTTAGTTAGGAACATAATCTGAGACAATGAGCAAACAATGGCATAGACTACAGGTGTGAAAAGAGTGCCAAACCTAGTAAGACTAGAGATTGGAGATCGGGAAGGTACAGAAGGAATAATCTGTGTTTGTCCTTGGTTCTTTGGGATTTATCACTTTTCTATGGTCTTTTGCTCCCACATTTTGATTGTTCTGAGAGACCATGTAGTTTCAAGAAGATCCTAGCTCTGTCACTCTGCGCCAAAATCGTCTGCATGTAAAACCAGAAAAAAATGAATATGCATATTTAATTCCTTGAAAACCTTTGAGACCTTAGAAATAGCATTTTTGTGACTCATATTGACATTATTTCTCTCTTAGTCATAACTGAATAAACACAGAATAGAAACAGAATAGTCAAAATGGCCTAAATGATGATGTCAAGAACAGTATTACATAGATAGCCATCTTCTCCTGCCCAATGTATGAACTCAGAAACAGACTTCAATCATAGAAACACATTTTCATTGGCAATGAAAATGAAATGGTGACCTGACCAAGGACTAAGATCCTAAAACTGCCTTATCATGGAGGTTTGTCAGGTCTGATAAGGGCTCCATTCATTTTAAACTGATACTGATGCTAGTAAGGGTGGTGGTAAAAACTCTTAATTGATTTCTGGAATTCCGGTTCTTACAGGGGCCTTTAAAATTATTTTATTGATAAAGTTGACATAGAGTAATATGTGCAGATCTTAATTGTATGATTTTATATTTTTTATTATATATGTATATTTTACATATTAAAATCAATGTTAGTAAGGAATAATTCATATACAGTAAAATGCACCAATTTTAAATGTGTTTAACAGTTTAATGAATAACAACCACCTCCATCAAGATATAGAACATTTTTATTTCTTCAAATAGTTCCCTCATAAAACTTTGCAGTCACTGTCAACCCACAGCAACTAATCTACTTTCTGATACTATAGATTAATTTTTTCAATTCTAGAATTTCATTTGAATGAAATCATAAAGTGCATAATTTTTTATATCTGGGTTCTTTCACTTTTCATAATATCATATTTATCCTGTGTTCTGTATATTGGGATGATACTATAATTGGTATTTCTTTGAGCTATAGTAGACAAAGCTCAGGGCCCACGCAAAATGGGATGTCTAATTAGAGAACTTCAGCATAAAGTGAGAGCCCCATGGGCTCCACTGCTCTATAAAATGAAATAAATCTAATCATCTACCTCAAGAACTGCATGGGAAATTGCCAGTGTGAAACCTCATTGCTGAGTGAAAGGGAAGAAAACATTTTCTCTGAGAAATCATGATCACAGCAGCCTGAATTTATGCTACCTTCTAGGAGGGAGGAAAAAAAGCATATTCTTCCTTGAAGCACTCACCTTCAATCAGAGCCTAAAAGTTAAAATTTCAAGAAATATGAGCTTACAATTTCAAAGTACAAAACTCACAAGGAAATAAATCACCATAAGTAACAAACAAACAGCAGAAGAAAGAGAGGGAAAGGTTGGAAAGGAGAGGGAAGGGAGAATGAAAAGAAAAAATAAGGTCCAAGTTATTTTATCAGTTATATCAAAGTGGAACAAATATATCCAGTCACATATAACAGATTCCAGAAGACAAAAATGAAAGTAATACAACTCTGATAGCAGGCATTCAGTAAGTAAAACATGAAGAGTATGAAATGCATAAGGTAATCAGGTATATAACCTTGATAGCAAAACCAAATAATAATGAAAAAGACAATTTATAGACCCATCCTATTCATAAAAATAATACAAAAAATCCTCAACAAAATATTAGCAATCCATATCTAATAATATGTAAAAGAGATACCATGGCCAAGATGAGTTCAGCCAATAATGCAAGTATGGCTTAACATTTGAAAATCAGTCACTACTTGCATTCAAGATCATACTGGAATGCAAGAAGAAGAATTACAAGTAGACTGGAAAGTGATGTGATTTTTTTATTCACAAGTGATGTGATTGTCTTTTAGAAAACCTCAAACATGCCTACAGATAAATTGTTAGAAATAATATAAGATTTTAGCAAGTTTGCTCAATACATAAGTAATATAAAATATAACATCTATTTTGATGTGTCTACAGAGGGAAAATATAATTTATAAATGCCCCTGGTGAAAGGCAAGGCCTTGCCTAAGCAAAGATAGGCAAGACCTTCATGGAAAAAAATGAATTTTATTGAAATATGTTAAAGAAAGATTAAAAAGGACAAAGAAACCTTATTCATGGATTAAAAGACTCAGTAGCTTAGTTGAATCAACTTTCTCTGAGTTGATTTATACATTCAGTGTAATTCCAGCAAAAATAATCCTAAAGAATTTTAAAATAGATTTGGTAAGCTATTGCAAAAATATGTATGAAAGAACAATGCACCAGAAATAACCATGACATTTCACATGCCTTAGAAGAGAGATATTTATTACTAAGCTGTAGCAATTTAGACCCTGGGGCAAAAGAATGGAATGTTGGACAAGGAGCCCAGAAACAGGCCCTCACATATATGAAAATTTGATTTGTGACATCAATAACACTCCATATGAGTTGAGAAATGTTAGGCTTTTCAATGAAGGAAAAATGCTGAAATTGCAACCCCATCTCAATCTGTACTCAAAAATTAATTCCAGGTGGATTGACTACTCAAATGCAAAAAGCAAAACTATGAAATTTAGAAGACATTGTAGAAGAATATATTTATGACTTCAGTGTAAGAAATGTTTTCTTACATGAGACAATTAAGAAAGCAAAACCTTACATAAAGGAAAGGATTGAGAAAATAGACTACATTAAAATTAAGAACTTTGTTCATCAAAAGAATACCTTTTTGAAAGCAAAAAGGCAAACCAGAGGCTTGAAGAAAATATTTGGGAAATAAATAACAAAATGAATTATATAAAAATTTCTGTGAGCCAATAATCAGAGCATATACAGGCCATTGGCTTGAACAGTCACGTCAAAAGAGAGGAAATCTCAGAGGCCACTGAATGTATGAAAAGATGCCCTACAATATGAGCAATCAGGATGTGAAAATTAAAAGCCAAAAGGAAATACTTTATACCTACTG